ACAAACATTCTCTGAGTCTCCCCTACATGAATTCCCTTGGAGCATAGGAGACCTTTGCCACTTACCAGCTCCCAGTCACTGGGGTGGTGGACCCTGGAGAATCCTCACCGATTGGGGCCTGAAAGCAGGTGCTAAAACACAAGTCCCTCTATGCTGAGAAGTAGGGCAGGGATGTTTCTGGAGTTTAGTATGGATAACCTCATCCTATCTAGATACATCACAGTCTCTGAGTGGATTTTGGACACACCTTTCACCTAGTTTCTTTTTTCCTTTACCAACTCCTGCATGATGAAATAAGCTTGCCAAAACATTGTACATTTCTAATAAATCTTCTTTCACTACCCATTCAAATCATCTTCAAACTTTATTTAATAGTTAATCATACTTGTCATAAGATATTAGTCTTAGGACTTTTATATTTTTAACACCACATTCCTTATCTAGAATAATGTTTAGTAATCATACCATGTTTATCAAATTCATTGCCAATGATGAGTTTTGCTCAATTCAGAGCTCATCAGGCCAGCTGGGACACAAAAAGCACAATGGTGATTGGAAAACTATTTATATAAGCCATTTGTAACAACAGATTTGTGAATATCCTCACGAAGCTGGCAAAGCATGATTATAATTAATTATACTTGTCATAAGACATTAGTATTAGGCCTATTATATTTGTAAACACAGCATTCTTTATCCAGTCCCTTATTATATACTCCTCGAAAGCAGCAAAATTCTTCTCAAAGCCAGAAACACCCAAAAATGTAGATGATCAAAGTGGGTAGAGGAATCTGCAATGTGAGTGTAATAGATTTAAATTTTAGAAGCTGTACTTACAAGATAATGGTGGCATTAATGTTAAAGATCTTCCACTGTAGTACTTGAATGATTTTGATGATGAATTTTGTTTTGTAGGTATGGGTTGGGGGCTCTTTCTACCACTGCTGTATTCATTTGCATATTGTTTTTTTCATACAATTCATTGTACATTTATTTTATCTTCATAAAAAAAAAAAATCATTTATGTTTAGGCACGAGGACCTCAAAAATATGCTGGACAGTAATAAAGATGGATTGAAACTGGAGGCTATGAAAAGAATTATTGGAGTGAGTATAAAAGTAACTATACCAGAAATAGCAGTTGTAGTCAACTAAGTTTTATTAGTGTTTTTGGTTATTGTTAACACTTTGTACTGTGTACAGTATGATAGGTTTTGGTTTAAATGGCTTGAATTTTCTCCGTCCATGTAGTAGAAAATTACACCTGTTGTATGGTTGGGAGGGCTAAGCCTGTAACAAATCAGTTTAGAATGATATGTACTACAACAGTAGGGGGAAACAATAGGAAAAATTATTTTTATAATGACACCTCATTCATTTCTGTAGCTATTTTAGTTACATTCATAGATAAAGAAGTTATGTAGATACATAGATGGAAGGCTAAGTACTAACATACAATACATACACAAGTTATAGGTACAATTTTTTTTTCATACATTATATAATAAGTCATCATTACTAATATCATGAAGCTAGTATGTATTTGATGTGTTGAACAGTAACATAAAAACTGGTACAACATTTGCCTTTCAGACAATTTATACATAAGTGTTGAGAAATGAAAAGCTATTACCTTGTATACAGCAATGAAGATTTTTGAGCATGTCACAAGCCTAGAACAAAGTTCACACACCTACGTGTGTTAATGTGTTTTGTACCAGCCTCTGATATAATCATTAGACTATAGCACTTCACCAATAGGAGGGCAACACATACTCCATGCACAGTAATTCCCATGAACAATAGCATTTGAACAAAGGCTTATTATTTTCTGTGCTTTGTTTGTCTTCAGATGCTTTTTTTTTTTTTCTTAGGAGGTATGAATGATGACTGGAGTCACTCTGATTGACCAGTAATGTTACCATCACTGTGCATCATGTGGTTGGTTTGATTCTGATTTCAGATCGAGGGTTTTTGAATTCCTGCTTTTGTTACTTTGGTTGAGCCTGCTCCATTTTGTGACATGTTTCACAATTGTTGTTTTCATGCCTACTTTTACTTCTAGTTTTGTCTTCATGATGAGGATCAGGTAGTCTCACTTTCATCTTTCATGCTTAGATTCCACAGGTATGTGTATTTTGTTTTATCTTTCCTCAATTATTTTTTTGATGAATCTCAGGCTCCACTGTTGCATGAGTCTTCAGTCATTTTTTTTCATATGGGGATTTCCTATTTTTATTTCTCTTTCTCTCTCCATCTACTCATCTTTATTTCTTACTTCATCAGATTTTTTACTACTCACCATGCTTCACCTTCTTTTAGAAGCTTGCTTTACATCAAAATCCTGTCAGCTCTACTGGTGCAACCTGCATATATCTGTTTTTCACTTTTCACTCTATTTTCTTCCATTTTATCATAATTAACATGGTTTCTTTGTTTCTGGAATGTGCTTTGTTCATGTGCTTGAATTTGCCTTACTTTCTGCCATTTGCCTCTGTCAATCTTCTCTCCAGGACCTCTGTTTTGCATCCTTTCTTTATGATGTTTTTTGGTGAATATTTCTTATACTTTGACATTTTGAGATGATGCAGCTCATCAGCTGTCTTCTTTGCTTACTTTGGTTTCTTGTCTGTGAGACCTGGGAGCCCCACTGGATTTCTCATCATATGTGACCTCATGGGGTCACCCTTCTTCTCTTCCTTTTCCTCCTGTTACTGTTTAAGACCCTTCCTCTTTGCAGGCTGGTTGTTGTGGGTCTTGGAGGCAATTGTTTCTGGAGCCACCCCTTGGTTTTGGTCCAGTGGGAGTTCTACTCTCCCACTTTGTACACCTTATTGAGTTACTCAGGTACTTTCACAGGTTTTTTCTTTTGTCCTTTTACTCTCCATCTTACTTGTTTCAAATGCTCCTCTGGAGTTTTACTCCCACCTTTTTGTCTTCCCCATACAGACATAAAGATTTATGGCTAGTTATCAGTCTATCCCGCTTAAACTAACTTTGGTCTTTCCTCGTTTACTAATTAATGGTTTTCTCACTCTACGGTGAATATTCTCTTTGGTGGTGAATGGCGTGATTTGTGGTCTTTCTTCACATCCTAATTTGTCTGGATGTTTTTTTATTCCTTTGAGTTATGATAGTGGTCAAACATTCAGTTCTTAGTTTTTCCCTTCAATTTCACCATGGCCTTCATCTTTTTTTTCTCATTTGGTCTGGTGGGCTTTTATTCTGAAGTTACATTCCTGAGGCCTATTTTACCACTTTTCTATTGATGTTTGACTTTTACTTGCTCCTTCCAGTGGGGCTTCCTCTTTAGTAAGAGTCATCTCATTTAGGGTGGCCAGTTTAGTTTGTGAATTCAGTTTAGACTCCTGTCCTGTGTCTCACTTTCTCACACTGCATGCAGGGCAGGCTCAGCTTACTCCTTGAGACATGGAACTTTTGATTCTGAGGCTCTCATGCCTCCTTCATTTCCTGCATGAGAGGATTTGTCAGTTAGGTAAGCTTTCTCTCTCTTTTGCATTCCCTGATCCTCTTGGATGTATCTGTACATGTCCTCTCTAGTGCTTTCTGGTATGTCAATGCAGGTATATCCATAGATCCACTATCTTTTCTTCCCTTCTCACTATTGTGGTGACTCACTTGATCTCTCATCCATCTTCCCCTACTTTTCCCAGACTTGCATTTGTTTGGAGTCCTCCAGGGCTCAACAATATGTCTTTGTGTTCCTTTCACTTACATATGTGGGTTTCCATATCTGTGGTAAGTGCAGAACAGGTGGAACATTATGTTTCTTTGTGCTTGACAACAACAATACTCCACATACACCTTTTCACAAATTGCTCGGTTTGAGTGGGGTGCAGTTCTGGACTCCTGCTCCATTTTTAGCTTGTGGTTTCCAGATGAAAGTTTCTCTATTTCCACATCCTTGAGATGATGGCTGCTCTCCAAGCTTGCCATCATCTTTTTGTCTCATCTGACTTTTCTTCTTATCATTCATTCAGATACCTCTTCTGTCATTTCTTCCAACCCTCAACAGGGAGATACTTGTTCCCATGACCTTTGTTTTCCTGGCTCTAGACTTTTTCTTTTGGGCTCATGACCACCATGTTCAGTTGGTGATTTAACTAGCCTTGGACACCTATGCTTGGACCCTTCCAAAAAACTTGTATCTCCATCCTCTGGTGTTTTTGGTGGATTTGTTCCTGCTATGCGAGTCCTGTCTTCACTGCCTTTCCACTCTTTTCTTCCAATCCTGTGGTTTTTGTGTGAGTATAGTACAGGCCACCCCACTATGCTATGAACCAAGCTATTCTTGCTAATCAGTTAAGGTGGATGAATTTTATGTTTTCATCAAGTAATAGGTCTGGGACATTTCTTTTTGCACCTCATTATTGTGTTAAATATCTTGCATATTTCTCCAGTAAAAAACAGTCTGACTTATTGCCACACCACATACACACTCATGCTTAGCTGACTGCCAGCAAGATAATGGCCAGTTGAAAAATCATTTTCTGCTCACCATAGTGATACTTTAGTGTCAATTAAGAAATTATTTTGACAATATCTTTTGCTGTACCATCTCTTCTTGAAATGGCTACAGTCTCTTACCAAATGACGCCTTACATAGCCTAGCCTCCCCTAATGGGTGATAAGTTCCATGGGCTTTGTCTTTCTGAAGATATGTTTTCAGAAAAGAGCTCATCCTTATAATTTCTTTATCTGCACTGGCACATTCACCATTGTCAATGTGGAATTTTAGCTGTTCATTGTGCAAAGAGGTAAGTAGAGTTTCTGAAGTTAAAATTTTTGTACCTGAAAATGTATTTCAGATAGATACCTTTCTTCACAGCCTCACACCTTTCCTATTTTTGGTGCATTTTATTTGCCTCATCAAGAATGAGCCTTTTTCAAATGCCAGTTTCCATAGGGATTACCGTGCATTAAGGATTTTTGCCCTCCTATTGGTGGAGGGCTATAGTCTATTGATGTATACATCATAGGCTGGAACTATACATGTTAGCATGTGTAAAGGTGGGAGCTTAAGACTTGTGGTGTGTGCAAAAATCTTCTTGGTGGTGCTTGAGGTAACAGGTAAGTATCTATCTAAAATACTTTTTCAGTTAAAGAAAATGTAACTTCTCAAACATCTTCAGAAAGATTGAAGACTATGTTATGTACTTTAAAGTTTATAAGAAGAATATATTTTTTTCATAACATTGTTAACAGTCATTGAAGATTACCATATTTTTCTATATCTGGGTACTAATTTTCTCATAAGCTTTGAAGTTATGGAAAACTTTTAGATATTTAGCCAGTTTACTAAAATAGAAGGTTCCCAGTTTATAAATGTAATGTGTAGGATTACACTATTAAAGTGTAACAGGAACCTATAATTTCTGAATAGTATGTGACAAATGTAAGGAAAGTTAGTTTCTTAATCTGAGGAGGAGTTAGATTACTAGAGAGATAGGTATGTGGGTAGCACAGCAAAATGAGGTACTAAGCTAATCTGCCATAATGATGTACGTGGCTAATCTACTGAGGTGATGCAGGTGACTATTTTATTAAAATTATGAATATTGTATGTGTAAATGAGTTTCTAATGTTTAGCTTAATTTTACTAAATTTAAGTTATTGGATATAAATTTTAAACTTAATATGCACACCGATACTTAGTTACCTATTATCTATGCCTAAATGTTCCATATGTCATGAAATTTTGTTACTTGTAATAGAAAAATATTAGTACATTTTATTATCAAGTCAATAATAGATTAATTTATTTTGATTGTATAACACAGTAATTATTTTCTCTCACATTTCTCACTGTGTAGGAAGTAACTTTTATGTTTTGTTTATAGATGGTTGCAAAAGGAAAAGATGCATCAGAACTATTCCCAGCTGTTGTCAAAAATGTTGTCTCCAAGAATATTGAGGTAACACAAACAGTATTTAGGAAATAATATATTGTAAACATGCACTAAAATATTCTACATGTTTTTATTATTAAAGTATTATAAAGAAGAAAAGTTATTTTCAAATTTCAGTTGTATCTTATGAAGAGTAGTTTGATACAACATAAATGCTGTTCATACAAACAAGACAAAACCATACATAAAGTAATTTAGTGATGTAAATGGTATGAGTTATTTACTTTGGTAATGTCTGTGTTTTCGTGCTAAACATTACTTACACAATGAGTGGTATGGGTTTTGGATGGAAGCATTCTCCAGTGTTAATAACTTTATTTATTGTGTAGGTGAAAAAGCTGGTTTATGTGTACCTAGTAAGATATGCAGAAGAACAACAAGACCTAGCCCTACTTTCTATTAGTACTTTTCAAAGAGCATTAAAGGTGAGAAAAATATCTATATATAAAAAGAAATATTTAGTTAGTGAAAGTAAATAATAATACGTATGCATTTTTTCTCTCCTATATGGTTATCTCTAAAGCCAGTTTTGATATTCATTTAATGTTCAAAGTTTCAAAATGTGAAAGCCATATAGGTAAGCATAAATATTTGCTGGTTTATTCAGTTTACTATGTGATAAACTAAAAATCTGGTCTAAAGTTCAAGATATAAAATGTAATTTATGGACTTTGAACTTTAAGTAAAATATTTAGTTTATTAAACGCTGTTAGCTGTTTTTAAACTGGATTTATAAACACAGGATCCTAACCAGCTGATCCGAGCAAGTGCCCTTCGGGTATTGTCAAGTATCAGAGTTCTTATGATTGTACCGATTATGATGCTGTCTATTAAAGATGCTGTAAGTGATATGTCTCCATATGTTCGCAAAACTGCTGCACATGCTATACCAAAACTGTACAGGTAAGCTCAAGTTTTTTATAAATAGTGGAGAAAAATGTTCAAACTTAACTATACTTCAGTAGCATGTTAGATGCTAAACTAACTTGGTTAAATTGTATCTTTTTTTCCTTTTTACATACAGAACATGTGTACTAATATAAAACAAAACTAAAGAGGTAGAATATTTAGAAACTTTGTTTCTTTGTTCAGATATTCTAGGACTATTTTCTATCAAATAGATAGGAAAAGCATTCATATATAAAAAATGTTGATGTTATAAAATTCTTTGTCAGAAATCAGTTGCATACCCTTCTTTATACAGTGTTCTTGCACATCTGTTTAAGAACTAATCTAAAGCCAAGATGCCATATGCAAAATTGTTATAGATATGAAGACAGAATATTAACATTGAAGATATCAGTTGTGGTTTTTGAATTTACCTCGTGAACAAGGCTATATTAGATCCACCATGAGATATGTTTAAGAATATGCAAATATAAAGACATTAAATATATATATATATATTGGAGCATGCATTAGGTGAGTGTGACATAGGTGTTAATTCTAACTAAGGCCAATGACAAAAAAAGCTTCCATACATAAAGTAAAGCTTGCTCATTCATAACTATAGACCATAACTTACCAAATAAGTTTGGCATATAATTTGCTGCTAAGTTATGAAATTGAGTATATCAGTATAATTAACTATACTTTTCATTTAATAAATATTAAACTGGTTGTTATAACATAGAACTATAATATTTTGTATTATTTTAGCTTCAACTTAAATGTAGGCATGTGGAACCCATAATAATAAACACCATTATTTATTTTCAGTACTTATCTTGATCAAACTATATAATAAACTTAACAGTATGAATTAAGATTTGACATAGAGAGAATAATCATTTTTGTAAAATTAATTAAGAAACACTGATTTGATTTTATTATCAACCTTTACTTTAACATAAATGTTGAATATTTCAGATTTCTACACTTATTAGCATTTAATGTTTTAAACAATTTCTAAGTGAATTAATTTAGTATTCTGAAAATTGCTTAATCTTGAAGGATAAATTCAAGGGAGGTCCAGTTCAAGCTATACTTTGATCAACATATGTTATTGGATTATATTGTATTATATATCTGCTATTGTGAAGCTATATAATGTGAAGAACTGAATAGTGGCAGATGACACTTTTTCTTCACTTCATCTGTGCAGTGTATAGGTTTTCTCATAGTGACTACAAAGCACATTCACACTAACAGTATGCTTGACAGTTTCTGAGTGTTTGTGGTATACTGTAAAACAATGAGTTTAATCTTATTCTTGTGTTTTTCTTTTTCATAGTGAAAATTCATTATTTACATAAAAAAGAAAATTTTATGTTCATGAAATGTTTCTTTTTTGTGAATCCAGCAGACTATTTATCTTAAACCATATAAATGTGTAAAATAAAAGTTTTTAATAATTGTTTGTTTGTTTGAAGTTAAGCACAAAGCTACACAATGGGCTATCTGTGCTCTGCCCACCATGGGTATCGAAACCCGGTTTCTAGCATTGTAAGTCTGCAGACATACGTTTTTAATAATAAAATTACTATTTTTATATTATGTTATTGCAAAAGTAATGGCATACGTAGTTGTTTTCTTCCTTCAAAACATAAATTATTCAAAAAAACTGTATGAAAATACAAGTCAAATTTCTAAAACCACTTTTTTATTTGTTATTGTTTTAATAGGTCTATCTTCTATGCTGATGTATTTTAACTTTGTTTGAAAGTTTATAAGTATGTGTATATGAGTATTCCTTTTTGTCTGACTTTAAACTCAATAGATATTTTTTTTCACCTATCCTTTATTGCTATAGCTTTCACTTTCTTATTCCTATATTACATATTTTACTGTTGTGTGTTACTGGGTAAGGAACTGCTTTACCTTCGTTAAGAACCTAAGTATAATACTGTTGGTCTTCAGGATGATGCTACTTTGAGTATCAGTACCATAGCTTCATATTCTAGTTAGAAATATTCCTTTTCTGCCTTTGAGAGTGACCTCAAACACTGGGTATTTTTTAACTTTTCCCTTACTGTTATAGCTCACATTTAAGAAAAAGGGAATTCAGACTATATTACATCTCCAGTGCTAAAAGTTTCTGTACTTCCCATGTGTACATTGTGTAAGCCAATAACTCATTCTTTTTTCTTGACATTACACTGTTTAGAGGTATCATTTTTCAATGCATTGTTAAACAATGGATATTTTTAACTAATCTTAACTTTTAAATTTAACTTAATTTTGGTTAAAGCTTCTAATATGAATTATTACATTTTCTTATATGAATTTAATTTCTTTGCATAATTAAACAATGAAACGTGGGACACATCATAGGGTTTTGACTGAAGCCAATAAGCAATATTTGTTTTGTCAGTATGAAAATGAAACAGAAGTACAGAAAAAGATGAAAAAAAACTTTGTTTCTGGTCCTTCTATCCATGAAAAGGATCAGGTAACACCTCCTTTGTTCTTTGCTGTTCTGATAACTCAGGTATGTGATAATTATTTTTCTTTTACTGTAGGTTCTGCTGGTGCATGCAAGGGAAGGGTTGGCCCTGTGGTAGAGCTCTAGATTTTGAAGTTGGTGAGCTATGTTCAAATTATTCCCTGAACCTACAGGTATGGGTGCATTATAAGAGTGACAGTTAATCCATTAGCATAGGTGATTGGGTGCTACTACCTTCCTTCTAGTCAGTAGTTTATAATTAGTGTTGGTAGAAGATGCTCCCTGTTCTGTAGCCTCTTCTTCCTAACAGGCCAGCTGTGATGGGGCTTGGAGACGCATAGAGGTTGGGTCAGCATTTCCACTATTATATAAACATTTGACTCTTCTTAGCCCCTTCCTGGGAGGCAGCCTTCAGGAGTCTACTAATTTTTGTTGGCTGGTCAAGCTCTCTAAGATGATATTGACTCTCACTCTGTACTTGATTCATTTGAGGTATTTTTCTCAACTAATTTACTGGATGGGCTCAGTATTTCTAACATTGTTGGGATATGGAACTTCTGGTTTCCCAGGATCGTGTGTCCTTTTCTTCCTAAGCCAGAGGTTCTGACTCTTGGTGACTCGCCTCTCTAGAGTTACTTCTTCCTCTGGATATGCTTGTTTGCATTCCTTTAATGAACTTTGGCATATCAGTGAAATACATATCCAGTTATCTACTAACTTCTCTTATTCTTCTCCCTCCATTTCTTCATCTTTTGCTGTCATGTTGGCTTTTTTGTTTCCACATGACCTTGGGCATCCCTTTTTGTCCACTTCACTTGGGCCTACATTTGTTTTTGGATGTCTCTCTAGATAGGTGGACTATAAACATGGATACTATTATGATCCATTTGTACAACTCTCCTGTAGTTTTTTGCCATTCAAAAGGTAGGTGGTCATTCTTATCTAGAAATACTTTGTTTGTTGTTGTTTTTTCTTGGTATTTTATGAACAATACTCCTCTACAGAGCCTCTAGGAAGATAGAAAATTGGCAAATTGAGGGATACAAGACTCATAAGCTGATGAAACTACAATGTGATGTAGGTAATGAGACAAAAAAATCTTCCCAGATACTAAGAAGTGAGTTGTTTATACAACAAAAGAGGAAAAAAAAATTCATTAATATAAAAAATCAAAAAAGAGGCATAGGACCTCACTGAATGCCAAGAGCTGTTGCACAGGAAATACTTCTCTATCCCAAAACTTGCATCGAGTAGGGAATAACAGAAAGCATTCAGCTTATTTTGCCCCTGCTTAGTGCCTGCTGTTAATATGAGATTTTCAGCAAGACTGTTTTAATGTTGTGTTTGTATATATATATATATATATATATATTACCTTCCAAACCATACTTGTCCAATAAAATAAAAAAAGAGAGTGGCAACAAATACAGTCAATTAGCTAGCTACTTATGTTTATTCATGGTAATCCATTGCATAGTCTCTCAGTGAGGGACCTTATGCAGATGAGATGATTCATGTTCAATATGCTCATCTTTTTGGCGCTCTTCCTTACATGAATTATGTCTTCCCAATTTCTTAGAATTGAGTGAGAAAAATCCTTGCTTCCTCAGTATGAATCTTCTGGGGTCGTTGATAAGGAAAATTCCTCTATCAGTTCATTGTAATTCCACTGGTTAAGATCAAGTAAATGCACCTCTTAATCGAAAATAAGGCAGTGCCGTCAATCTGGAAGAGAACTACAGGCCACCCCAACACCAAGAACTGTATTTGCCAACCCTTGGACTATGTAAGGCTGTTGAGCAAACTTCACATTCTTCCCACATTTGTGACACTTTAGCAACAAGCAAAACGTTATTTAATGGAACCTTTCTGTACCATAATTTGTAAATAAGTAAAGAGTATTCTTTGTTCTAGATTGATGTGGTATCTCAGTGAGTTCTGCTCTCACTAGGTCTTCCAACCTTAGTGGGAGACATCCTCTGTGAGTTTCTACTTTCTGTTGCTATAGTTTTAGAGTTAATTTTTTTAAATTTATTTCTTCACACTGGTCTCCACATTATCTCAATGTGGAATTCTAGCTATTTGTTCTATAGAGAAGTGAGTAGCCTAGTCTAAAGTTAATGGTTTCTTTACCTGAAAATGTATTTCGGATAGATATTCACCTCTCCACAGAGCCATCCACTATGTATGTATTTAAGATAGATTTTCAGAGAAGAAAAATGTTAATGCTTCATATTTTAAAATTATATATTACTCACTGTCCTAATGTACCAATAACCTCTTAAACTCATTAACTCCTTGGTCTCTGAAATGCTTTGTTGTGCTGTTTTAATAATATGTTCAGTGAATTAACTACTTTGGCAAATTCAATGGCAGGAAGCTGTGATAGAAATTCAATAATCCTGTTTGAATTAAGAAGTTAAATGAGTTCTCCATGATGTTGATTTCAGGTTGGAAGATTCTATTGGCCAAAGCTTTTTTGAACTTAATTTATTTTCTTCTGTTGCATTTTGAATAGAATGTCAAATTGTTCAAATTTGATGTCACTGTCACATTCCATGGCATGCTGTAAAACATATGAGTTATTATATATGGAAGAAGTATGATATTTTACAGTTCTTTACTGACAGACCAGTAAAAGTGTAACGAAGCTGTTATTTCAATCCAGTTTCTGATTTTGTAGCTTTTGAGCAACTCTGAATAAAGACAAATTTTGCTGTGTAATGTGGCTCATTTCCACACATTAATGACATAATGGAGGCAAATTATTGACATTACATTATCACAGGTGTGCAGTGAGCATAACTAGATTTTAAATTTCTGATCTCTCAACCAATTGGAGAAAAGTATTTTATTCTGCCTGGTATTCCGATACCACTCATTTGAAATGAAGAGGAAATGGTATTATCATTTTTTGCCAATTTTGTGCTGCATTCCATTTTATTTTGAAAATAAGTTTCCTCAATTATTTTCTATAAAGATTATTATTTGTAATTGGAAATTCATAATTGACTAATCAGTGGGCTCATTAATTGATTATATTCAACTAATTTATTATTCTAATATGAGACTTGGAATAATTGGAAATAATAATTTTGATCAGTTGATTATTTTCAGTGAGTTGTGACACTAATTGATTAAGATGAACAACCCTGAATTAATCCAAAATAATAATGAAAAATCATAATAGCAATATTCCTATTACTTGAATAGTTGGAATAATCAAACACAGTAAGAATAACAGGGGACAAAATAATTTGGTAGATTTGATTTGTAGAAACTGCTAATCAGTGTTGAATTTGATTAGCAATTAGCAAATATTCCATAGCATCTTTTTATTATTCATCATTTTAACATTATGGCAACTAAATTCAGCACTAAAAGTCTAAACTTTTTTTTTAAAGACATCCACTAACGAAAAAGAGGTAAATGGTATGTTTTTATTCTAATAACACTTTTATTCAGCTTCAAACCCTAATATTTAATTGTACCATACATGGCATTTCATGAACAAAATAGTTCCTGGTATATAAAGTAAAACTTCAAAACTTCAAGAAATACCAAACACCACAGCTGTCAAAAAATAATACAACAATCGATTAACCAGAGAATGAAGTGACTTGAATATTGGAACTGAATAAGGTTGCTACAAGTCGTTTTTCAAATTAATCTAGTTTATTTCTTTTCTTTTTTTTTTTTTATGAGACCTCATCACTCTCTTCACAATGTGGTCTCCTTGGCTGTTTGAAAAAGAAAATGTCTTGTGACTTTTCAGCAGTAATTACCCCTTTTGCCACAGGCATTCTTTACTGTGCATGTCACTAGGTTTTTAGTGAGTTACATTCAAAATTTAATTAAACTACTTTTTCTTTGTTCATGTTATACCAATTAGTATATCATAAAATCGTAGGTAATAAACCATATTTTAATGGTATATAAGTTTTAAGTTCTTAATTTTATAAGGCAATGTTAAAAAAGTTCCTGCATTTCCCCCAGTGTGTGAAATGTGACATTTTTTCTATAGGCATCCCCTCTTTTCTAATTTATTTACCATCCCTCCAAGTAGTACAGAATTTAATGTAAATTACTTATTATAATATTGTCATTGCTCAGATAAGGTATAATTTTGTTTGGTTACAGAGCCATCAAATAGAAAATCAGACCCCTCT